CATCAATACTAAGATCTTATGTGTGTCAAAAGATACAATTAAGAGTGTAAAGATGAAACCTACAGGTGAGAGAAAATATTTGTAAATCATGTATCTGATAAGGGTCTTGCAGTGGGTTGAATGATGGCCCTCAAAAAGATAGTTCTATATCCTAACTCCTGAAACTGTTAATGAAATTTTATTTGGAAAAAAGAGTCTTTGCAAATGTAATAAGAATCTTGAGATAAGATCGTCCTGGAGAACTTGGATAATAACAAGTGTCCTAAAAAGAGACGGGAGAAGATGAGAATACAGAGGAGAGGCCATGTGGAGATGAAGGTAGAGGTTGGAGTTATGTAGACACAAACCAGGAAACACCTGGAGCCACCAGAACCTGTAAGTGACAAAGAAGGATTCTCCCGTAGAACCTTAGGAGGGAGCTTAGCCCTGCCAGCACATTGATTTCAGACTTCTAGCCTCCAAAACTGCGAGAGAATAAATCAACTGATGAATGGATCAACAAATATGGTATATTGCTACAATGGAATACTGTTCCACCATTAAAAGGATGAAATTCTGATGCAAACAACAGTATGGATGTACCTTGAAAACATTATGCTGAGTGAAAGAAGCCATACACACAAAAGGCCACATAATATAAGATTCCATTTATATGAAATGTCCAAAATAATCAGATTCATAGAGATAGAAAATGGATTAGTGTTTGCCCGGAGATGGAAGAAGGGATTTGAGATTGACAACTGACAGGTACAAAGTTTCTTTTGGATGATGACATTTCAAAGGAGCAATAGTCGACTCTGTCAGAAACCTTTGATCATGCAATATGTAGATTTAAAAATATACATACTCTAATACACAAAAAGTATATTCAGTATGTTCCCAATTGTGCAAAATAAATAAATATATTTCAAAGACCAAAAGAAATGTCAGCTTAAAACAGTAGTTAGATTTATTTTTCTTAGTAGTAGGAAAATTGGGTGATTTTTTTTCTGTTTTTCTCTTTTGTATTTTCTAAATGTTAAAAATTCACTCATTTATACCAACTCTCTTCATTTGATACAGTTTAATAGAAAGGGAAAATATAGGCATCAGTCAAAGGATTGTATTTGATAGAAAGGTCAATATATTAACTCCACAAGGAGGAGGTCTCAAAAAAGTGGGGAAACATGCACAGGTAACTGGCGAGACTAACAATAGCAACAACATGTACAAGTTGATTGTACAATTAACATATTTATTGATGCAGAGCCTCATCATTAGCAGAGATTAGGAGGTTTATAGTTTTCTGTTTTACCAATTGACAGGGTAAAAGAAAGAGAAAGAGAAGAGACATGAGAATGAAAAAGAATTCCCAGTATGTCAAGATTTCAGTATAAAAGCTATAGTTATACATTGTTGAAATAATTACCAATTGACAATATTTATTAGAATTTAAAATGTACAGATCATATGGATGGTCAACAGGAACATGAAAGGATGTTCAGTATCACTAATTATCAGAGAAATGCAAATCAAAACTACAATGAGGTATCACTTCACATCAGTCAGAATTTCCATCCTTAAAAAGTCCACAAACATTAAATGCTGGAGAGGGTGTGGAGGAAAGGGAACCCTCCTACACTGTTGATGGGAATGTAATTTGGTGCAACCACTGTGGAGAACAGTATGGAGATTCCTTTAAAAAACTAAAAATAGACTTACAATATGATCCAGCAACCCCAATCCTGGGCACATATCTGGAGAAAATTCTAATTTGAAAAGATGCACGCACTCCATTGTTCATAGCAGTAACTATTTAAAATAGCCAAGACATGAAAACAACTTAAATGTCCATGGATAGGTGATTGAATAAAGAAGTTGTGGTGTGTGTACATAATGGAATACTACTCAACCATAAGAAAGAATGAAATAATTCCATTTGCAGCAACATGGCTGGACCTAGAGATCATCATACTAAGTGAAGTAAGTCAGACAGAGAAAGACAAATATCATATGACATCACTTATATGTGGAATCTAAAAATATGATACAAATAAACTTACTTATAAAACAGAAATAGACTCACAGACATAGAAAACAAACTTATGGTTACCAAAGGGGAAAGAGGGAAGGAAGAATAAATTAAGAGTTTGGAATTAGCAGATACAAATTATTATATATGAAATAGATAAAAAAAAAAACAAGATTCTACTGTGTAGCACAGGGAACTATATTTAATATCTTATAATAACCTATAATGAAAAAGAATATGTATGCATAACTGAATCATTATGCTTGTACACCAGAAACCAAGACTACATTGTATATCAACTATACATCAATTAAAAAATGTACAAATCTATTTATAAATATGCTTACACAAGAGCAAATTTGAGGTATATGCACATCTATATTTATATAACACATATATATTTGCACATACATATACACATATATGCATATAGTAGAATATGATTGACAGATGTCAATCGATAGAGAAGGTATTAATCACATTATAGTACATATATACAGTGGAATACAATGAAGCTATAATTAAGTAAATAGTTTTACATATACAGATCTGGAAAGATTTTCAATTTAAGTGAAAACAAGAAAGTGCATGAAAATAATACACCTGCCATTATGGAAAAACAGTATTGAGGTTCACAAAAAATTAAAAATATAACTATATTATAATGTAGCAATCCCACTTCTTGTTATATATGCAAAGGAAATAAAATCAGTGTCTTGAAAAAATACCTGCTTTTTCACGTTCATTGGAGCATTATTCACATTAACCAAAATATGGAAACAACCTAAATGTCTCATGGATGAATAGATGAAGAAAATGCACACACACACACACACACACACACACACACACACACACTATTCAGCCTGAAAAAAAAAAAAGAGAAGAAATCTGGCCATTTGAAAAAAAAGCCGTATCTCTAGGAATAAACCTAGAGATAAGTGAAATAGTGAAATAAACCAGTCATAGAAAGAAAAATACCATAAAAATACCTTACGGTATTATACATGAGAAATCTGAAACAGTCAAATTAATGGATGCAAAGAGTAGAATTACAGTTCCCAGGGGCTGGAGGGAGGGTGAAATGGGGAGATATTTGTCAAAAGGGACAAAGTTTTACTTACCAAGGTAAATAAATTCTGGAAGTCTAATATACGAGCAAATTGACTTTCAAGTATTTTATACTTGAAATTTGCTGAGAGAGTAAATATTAACTATTAAATTAAGCCATTCTGATGGGTGTAAGGTGATACCTCTTTGTGGTTTTGATTTGCATTTCTTGATGATTGGGGATATTGAGCATCTTTTCATCTGTCTGTTGGCCACCTGTCTGTCTTCTTTGGAAGAAGTCTTTAGATCCTCTGTCCTTTTTTAAAATTTTTCAAATTAATTTTTAAAGTTTTTTTCTTAAATTAATTGATTTTTTGCTATTGAATTGTATGAGTTTTAAAAAATGTATTTTAGATATTAACCCCTTGTCAGATATAAGACTTGGAATTATTTTTTTCCCAGTCAGTAGTTTGTTTTTTTACTTTGTTAATTGTTTCCTTTGATTGTACAGAAGCTCTTTCATTTGATGTAGTTCCACTTGTTTATTTTTGCTTTTGGAGTCAGATACAAAAAATCATCGCCAAGACCAATGTCAAATTGATTATCAGCTGTGATTTTTTTCTAGAAGTTTTATGGTTTCATGTCTTATATTCAAGTCTTTAGTACATTTTGAGTTAGTTTTTGTGTATGGTGTAAGAATGGTGTAGTTTAGTTTTTTCACATGGCTGTCCAGTTTTACCAACACCATTTATTGAAGAAACTGTCCTTTCACCAATGTATATTCTAGCCTACTTTGTCCTAAATTGGTTGGCCATACATGCATGGGTTTATTTCTGGGCTCCGTATCCTGTTCCAGTCTGTCTTTGTGCCAGTATCATACTCATACAGTTTGTACAATAGTTTGCAAAACTTTTGTCACTGATATTCAGTAGAAATATAAACAAAGTAATTATAAAGCTAAAACTATAGCAAAGATAAATATGGTTAGAGAATACATAATTGTATGTAAGTTTCTTTACTACAAATATTTAACAAAGATCATGCATTATATTTATCACTTTAAACAAATAAAGTAATTTTTTAAAACAAAGATATTCACAACAAAAAGGTAAAGTCCATGTTTCCTCAAGTTTCTGCCTACTCAATTCAACAATTGTGGTCTTGAGAGAGACAGTGAGAAAGCAGCCTAGAACTTACATACCGGGTCTTCAGTTTATGCATTGCTGATTTCACCTCTTTGTTTCTCAAAGTGTAGATAATGGGGTTCAGTATGGGCGTGAAAACCGTAGAGAACACAGAAAGGACTTTATTAACTGGGAAATTGCTGAAAGGCCAGGCATAGATGAAGATACAGGGCCCAAAAAAGAGGATCACAACAATGATGTGGGCAGTCAGAGTGTTGCGGGCCTTGGCCATGCCCACAGAGGAGTGACGTCGCACAGTGACCAGGATGACTGTGTAGGAGATCAGCAAGAGCAAGAATGAAGTCACCCCCATGAGGCCACTGTCCAAAAGCATCAACACTTCAGGGATATAAGTATCAGTACAGGCAAGTTTGATGACCAAAGTAAGGTCACAGTAATAACTGTCCACTATGTTTGGACCACAGAAGGGCAGATTTACAGTGAAAGCTAACTGGCTTAGCGAGTGCATGACCCCAGTCACCCAAGAGCCTACTACTAGACATGTACATTTGCACAAGTTCATGATGGTTGCATAATGGAGAGGTTTGCATATGGCTACATACCTGTCATATGCCATGGCTACAAGGAGCAACATCTCACCACCAGCAAAGACATGGAGCAAAAATATCTGTGCCATGCAGCCCGCAAAGGAGATGGTCTTGGGTTCATGAAGGAAATCATGCATCATCTTGGGGGTTGCATAAGTGGCCAGAAACACATCAAGAACAGAAAGATTACTGAGCATGATGTACATGGGTGTGTGCAGGGCAGGTTCCGAGACCACTGTGAGGACAATGAGGAGGTTGCCCAGAACAATGGTGATGTACAGGAAATTAAACAACACAAAGAAGAAATACTGGAGCTCCCAGGAACTGGAGAGTCCCAGCAGCACAAACTCAGCCACTCTAGAATTATTTCCTTGGTCCATTAAGTACCTACAAAGAGAAACTTAAATCAATTACTATCAAGAGCAAGAAAAGTAGACCCCAATCCTGAAGGGTTCTTCTCAACATTAATTGAAAATGCTCTAGAATTACTCTTATTAGGAAATGTTTTGTCTATAATTTTGACAGATAGATTTTTCTGTCAGTCATCCTTACTAAGAAGGATAGCTATGAGACCTCCTCTGCTCAGTTTTTCAGAAGAAAAACCTCAAAGTGAAATTTAAAATCAGCTCAGATATAATAGAAACTGATCCCTAAACCATTTTCTATCATACACAAAGTAAAATTTTATGCATCAGACTAACATGGATGTAAATAATTTGTAGTTGAAGAAAAGGAATTTGAACAAAATTGTAAGTCCAAGTATCACAAGCCATTGCTCCAAGTTTCTTTCTCTAGTTAAAGGTCTCATTAACATTTGTCAAAGACAAAATCCAGGGCAAGTAGATCAAGCAAGTGACTGACACAAAATGAAAAAGAAAAGTACCTGATTTAATTAAATACAGATTTCAAGAAAGTTGAAGCAAGTTTTGGCTTCTTTCAAATTAAATGCTCCTACAAGAGCTCTGCATCAAATGTGTAACTATAATAAATACTGACTTAGGCAAACCACCTCTTCTTCTCAGCGCTCTGTTTCACCTTTTCCCCACTTTATTATCTCTCCATTTTGTTCAGGACTAGGGAATGAGCTGGGACTATGGGACAGATGTCCCATGGTGATTCTTTGTCATTAGAAGTTTGCTGGTTCGCTGAATAGGGAAAATGGCATAAGTCCGGAGAGCCAAATCCCTTTCACCTTCCCCCATTCCCCTAAACTCCTCCCGTGTGTCTTACCTGTACTGATTACAGGCACTGTGTTTCTAATAGATTTAGGGAAATTTCGACATGTGAGAATTTCTGAAATATTTTAGGAAGAATTGAATTGAATCTTTAATGATATTCCCACCTTAGTAGGAAAATGGAAAAACTTGGCAGAGAACATCTGATCCCACACTGTAAGAATGTATAATGAATTTCTCTTTTAATCTTAACTGTTAAATATCACTAATAGAGTAGCCAATGTAATATATTTATATACTTAGTATAAATCCTACTTAATTATGATGTGTTATTTGAGAATATCATTACCTGGGTTTGATGTACTCATTTTTTTTATGTAGGATTTTTGCGCATAGATTTATAAGTGAAACTGGCCTGTAGTATTTTGAAGTTGTGTTATCCACATCCAGTTTTGGTATTGAGACAATAATAAACTCATAAAATGAGCTGGAGTATTCAGAAAAGTTCTTTTAATTTCTTTATTCTTTAAAGGTTTGGATGACTTTGTGCATAAACTTGAATGTGTCCTGTGACTTTTATAGGTTAATATCTTTAACCTCTTTTTCAATGTATTTTATAGTTATTGGTGACTTCATTTTTCTTCCTGTACTTAAGCAAACTTGGTAATTTATGCTTTCTCAGGAAATTAACAATTCATCTGGTTGAATCTGTCAAGTCTTGTGCTTTTTCATAACATTCTTTAATTGTTTAATCTCTTCACATGCAAATTTATGTCCATTTTTCTGATCTCCAGTGATTACTTGTATAGTTCCTCTTTTATTGTGTTCAGTACTGGTTCTTTCTTTGTCTAAGTATTATATTTTGGTTTTACTGATACCTGCACTAGTTTATTTGTTTTTATTTCAAAAACTTCTGTTTTAAAGGTAGAACTACACTGAAACATCATCTCTCATATATTATAATGGTAAAAATTCAAAATTCCACAACACACTCTTGACAAGCTAGGAGGCACTCTCATATACTACAAATGGGAATGCAAAATGCAACCATTATTATAGAAGTGCAGTTAGCGGTGTGTAGAATATTAAATATACTCTTGCACTTAGCAATTTTACTTGAAGAATAGGAAAAAAAACAACAATTAGACATATGCTGATAAGTGTTGAAGCTGGGTAATAAACGCATGGAGCGGGGCATGTGGGCATTTTCTCATCTTTTGAATATTTCTTCTGCTTTTAACTGTATGTATACCTTCTTTATATTGTATAGCTTATTTTGTTGTCCTATCACAAGTTTCTCGAGTCAAATTCCCGGTTAAGTTGAAATCATTTTATAACAATATATTACTAGAGTCCTTCATCATATGATCAGTGAATGTGAATTATTTTCTAATTATTAAACTAGAAGTTAGTAATACATTGGATACATGATAATATAGTTCCTGACTTCACAGATTATGCATTCTAAGGCAGAAAGCTGATATCTTGAGTAATTAAAGTAAAACTGTACTTGTTTTACCATAGAAGAATTGGAAGTGGTATGAGTATATTGTGGAAGGTTTTAATCTTACATTAAAAAATTATGAAGAGTTTCAGCTGATACTTAAAAGATGAGTCAGAGTTAGCCAGGTTAGTGGATGTTTATTTATGTTTCTAGATAGAGACATTTTTAAATCGGGAGGAAAAAAAATACTGTATGTAAAGAGGTTAACATTTAGTGATGGTATAAAATTGAAGAACTATAAGAAATGTAATGTGGCTTAAATCTACAGTATATGAGATTTATCTAGATAAGAAATATTACATAATTTCTGAATTTCTCCTAAAAATGGTAAAAAGCCATTGGAGGAAAAGCATTGTGTGTATTAAAGGGAGTGGCATGATAAGACACACCCGGAACAGACAGAAATCAAATCACAAACTTGTAGATGTAAATTCTACCACATCAATCGTTTACACTAAATTCAAATTAACTGAACACTCCAAACAAAGTGATTATCAGAGTAGATGAACAGAAGACCTGCTTTTATGCTGTCAACAGGAGACACACTTTAGATTCCACATTCAGCTTTTCTTCTCAGCCATCAGTCTTGCTCAGCAACCTCAGATTCACACCAGCTTGGGAAGCAACAACCTACCTTCCATAGTTCTCTCCACTAATTCTCATTATTGTGTGAAGTCTAATCTTTATAGTTAATCCCTTAATCCATGTCACTCTTTATGGTTCATCTACACTCATCGTATGCTGACTGATACATGTGCTATATTCAAAAGCAAAATTGTCTAAAAACTCCCCTTCTTCTAGTATCCTCACTGGTTTTAGTATTGAGCTTAAGCTGATTCATTGAGAAAGTCAGAGAAAATTTCATTATTTTCTGCTCTTATCTTTATAATTTTTCATTCTTTTACTCTTTTATTCTTCTTTAGATATTTTCCCCCTGATTTCTCATATAGGACCCCAAGCTTACTAATTTTTCTATATTTTAACTTGGTATTTGGGACTAAAAATGTTATTCAGAAGTTTTGATATGTAGTCTATTTTAATTCTTCAGTTCTAAATGTTTTTATCCTTGCCATTATGTTTTTTTTAACTCATGACTTACTCATAAAGCTTTTATTTTTCTTATTTCCAAAGGTTCAGGATTCTATTTTTGAGGGGGGAGAGGGGGTTTGGAAAGGGAAAAGAAAAAAAGGCGGTGGGGGGAAGCTTCAAAAAATACAAAAAGTAGGCATTTTTATTAATGTTTATGTTACCACTGTTTTGTTCTTGCTGGCAGGTGATTTACAGAAAAGATGGAGGCATTGCTGTATGAATCGGAGGTGTTGACAAGTGCTCATATTCAAAGAAAGAAGGTAACGTTTTCTTACTAAAGCATGCATTTTTCAGGACTGAGAATGCGATCGAGTTAGAGCATTAATCTGAATCAATGAAAGTTTATTTCATCGTGAAACATTTTTATTCCAAATAAACTAGGAAATGAGCTGTCAGTTCAAGAATCAAAATTTGTAATGTGAGCAGAATGCCTTACCTCATTGGTGAGAAATCACCATCCCCTCGTCCACAGATAAAGGAGCAGTGATCTGGTTCAGGGAGAGCCCTGAGTCTATGTAAATGGGTTTTCACCCCCTTTCTTTTTGGGGGTGTGTGCTTTACTAATGAGATTTAGGTAGAACAGGTGCACAGAAAGGCTAGCCTCTACCTGCCTTATAGTTCACAATATAATCACATATTTTCTTTCTTTTACTGTACAGTAAGGAAAAGCCATGTAATCTCTTTGCGCCATGATTATTTTAGTTGCTTCAGTTCAGACTTCTTTTTCTTCATGTGTGAAAGCCAGTGAGAAATGAGAGATGGGGACAGCAGATTCAAAAGGACTCTGGGATCCAGGTAGAAACTCTATTTGACAAGGAAGCAGTACAGCTGTAAAAGTTGTATGGCCTCCCTTTTAAAACTTGGATAACTTAAATAGGTATATTGATGATAACCCAATTATATGTTATTCTTGAAGAACCTTCCTATGTAGGTAGATTTAAGATTCTTAAAGAAAATTGAGAAATTTAAATGTCTTAAACATCTCTCAGATGCAATGGAATCCTATCTAATTGGCTTAGACAGACCACTGAGATAAACACCAGGATGGGGTCTTAATGCCTCCCTTCAAAAATTCAAAAGATCAGTCCCAAACTTCTAATTTATAATGTTCTAGAGTGAATAAAGAAAAGTTCAGGTTTTTCAAGCTCTAGATTGCTTACAAAAAGAGTTATATTTAAATTTAAGATACTGGAGGAAATAAAGAGATAGCCAAGGAATTTACAGCAAAACTGATTTCCAAGTTTAAGGAACCAGAAAAATTGTTGTCAACATGCAAGAATTCAGAGAATAGGATCCTCAAGAGGCCTTCCTGAGGACTAGAGTAGAGAGGAAGCCTCAGACAACAAAAATGACTAAAGACATTGACTACAGGCTGTGGCACTGAACACTAGCTGATGTCATTCCAAAAACAGAGACAGCAATATTTCAGGGTTCTCCGGATAAAAGAGCACAACCCCATCTATACTCGTCTTGCAGATGGTATCCAACCGCATATGATCCAGTCAGTCTCTTTATTTGTGATTTGCAGAAAATGTAGAGGACAGAGGTACATGTTGAACTGTACTCTATGCATGCAACCCGCACGTTCCAGACTGAGGGAGATGCCACAGGGTAAATAGTTCTTCAA